GCTCTTGCAACATGGATTCGGAAAGAAATGCCTAGTGTGGAAAAAAACAGTGTACTGTTTTAAATTGTTATGAGAAATATTTTATTCTGAGTTACCATTCTATTGTAGCACTTACTCAGTACATACCCCACATGGAAGGATTTTTTTTCTTAAAGCCTCTTTTTTGTTTCAGACTCTTGACATAAGTTTTTACTATTTGTTTACTGATTCATGAACACTATGGCTTTATATGGGGTTGATTTGTTTGTGTTGTAACATTGAGTAGGAAATATGTTGGAAGTCACTCTTTTTCAAAAAACGCTTCCTTAAAAAATCACTGACATTTGATGTGCACTCCATATTCGTGTAAGGGTTGTTAAAATTGCGTACATGTTATTTTAATAAATATCCTAAATTAAAAAATTACAATATTGAATGAATACTTTATGTGTTAATATGCTTGGCAGATTTGTATTATGATTCACCTACTTGAGCTGCTGATGCTGAAAGGAGTTGATATGTAAAGAAAAATTGAGTATTTTAATCGCTAATGTTTATAGAAAGTAGGACAGAATAAAGAGAGAAGGAAAAATAGTTAGCATGTCTTAGAAAAATATGCAGGTACTGAACTTCTTTGGACAAAGCACAGAAATAAAATTGAATGTGTGAGTGAATGAATGAATGAATGAAAAGTTTGAGGGGATTACTGCCTCAGAGCAGAATGAAAAGGCCAGAACAAAAGTGACTAGTTCATATCTGTGTCAAGTTACTGGAATAACGTGATAGGCCTCTGTAATTCATCTAAATTGTATATAATATGCACCTCAAGATTTTGCTGTCACTCTAGTAAAACTGATTATTGGGCTTGAATGAACTGAGTGAGCTATATTGTGTGAACATGATTAAGGACAGATAGATGCCATAGAAGAAAAGAAAGTTGTGAATCCCTAAGCAAGATGAACTTTCTCATCTTGCTATGAACTTTAGATCTGTTGTTATAGTGAGAGCAGAACATGGCTTGTGGCAGGTTGAGGTGAAGGGGATACCTGAGAAGCTCTCTTTCTTTGGGTACTCTGAGAATAGTTTCTGTCACAATCCTGTAGGTGCTCAGTTTAAGACCAAGTATAGGAACTTGACATTCACTTTTTGTTGCTGAATGTACCTAGGGGTTTGTTTGGATTAGTAATTTGCATGTATTTTAAATTTTGAAGTAAACAATTTAACTGTTGTAATAGTTTATCTTCTATTCATGATTATAAATATTTTAAGATTGATTTCCCCTACTATATATATAATTTGTCCATTTGAGTTGTGTTATAAGACCTCATGCTTTAGTGGTTGTCTCAGTGGCACATTGAAAAGTCAGATAACTTGATGTTATCACTGTATTGGAAACTTATCTAATGTGATACCTAATTTTCATATATATAAGAAGTTATTTTTAGCATGATATAATTAATTTTTTTTCTCTTTAAGTGGAGGGATATGAGCTACTTAAGTTTTAAAAATCATTTATGCTGTTTCTTCTGGCAAGATGACTATTACATGCAACAGAGGTACTGTATATAACATATTTTGTTATATTCAGTTATGGTCTTTTAGAGTTAATTCTCAAAAATACTTCAAATCTCCATTGACTCTGTGCTGAAGATGAAAGATAAAACATCTTACCATATTTATGCTTTAGATTTCTTATTGATTATAAACTATTTAACATAATTATTTGAACACAAATTCATTTACAGAAATTATTAAAGGGCATTTAAGACTCAAAAGAGGAAAAATAACATAAGAATGAAAAGAACTAACAGAAATTGAATGCCTGTTTATACTATGTATAGTGTTGATGCTGAATGTGTTGTGTGTGTGTGGGGGGGTATAGGTAGGTTTGTCTCGTTATACTTAATTTGAAAAAGCTCTTAAATATTTAGGATCATTCTAGATGTGTGTTATGTAAGTCAGAGGAAGAATTATTTAATTCATAGAAGAATTGGCCATTTTTAAATTTTCTTTATAGTCAAATAGGGAAAGTTTATGTTCTTTAAATTTTGGCACAACATGACAATTATGTCAGTCTGTTGTGTTTCTCTATGGTACTCAGAGAATATTTTCAGTTGTTTCAGTGATGTCAAGATTTTGAAAAAGATATTACCAAGTTAAAACCTTTATTAAAAAGGATGATTTAATAAAATAGAAGACTTCTTAATCCTAAATTCTGGATAAATTATATTGTGGATGAGGAACTATTTCTTCTTATCAATGTTCTTGGTATTTTTTAAAGTTGTAAAATAAACAGTAACAAAATTTACCATCGTAACTAATTTGAAGTGTAAAGTTCAGTATTATTAAGTATATACACGCTGTTATGCAACCAGTCCCTAGAATTTTTTCATCTTGCAGAACTCTACCCATTTAACAATAACTCCTCACCCCTTCTCTCAGCCTCTGGCAACCACTGTTCTGTTTTTATGATTTTGACTACTCTAGGAATCTCATAGAAGTGGAATGATAGATACAGTATTTGTCTTTTGGTGACTGGCTTATTTCACTTAGCATAATAGTCTCAAGGGAGTTTGTCCATGTTGTAACATGTATCTGTATTCCCTTCCTTTTTAAGGGTGGATACTATTCCATTTATATATGTATGCATATATATACACACACACACATACACACATACATCCATACATATACACACATATTTTGTTTATTCATTCATCAATTAATGGACACTGGGTTGCTTCTACCTTTTGGCTATTGTGAATAATGATGCTCTGAACATGGATGTGCAAATACCTGTTTGAGACCCTGCTTTCAGTTCTTTTGGTTATATACCCAGGTGGAATTGCTTTATCATATGGTAATTCTATTTTTAATTTTTTGAAGAACTGTCATACTGTTTTCCCTGGTGGCTATACCATTTTACATTCCCTCCAACAATACACAAGGGTGCCAATTTCTTCACTTCCTTACCAACGCTCATTATTTTCTGATTTTGTTTGTTTGTTTGTTTGTTTTATAGTAGCCATCCTAATGAGGGTGAGGTGATATGTTCTTGGCATTTTTTTTTTTTAAAGATTTTNTGTGCAGCATCTTAGCTGTAGAGGGCAGTGTCATTGGCCCTCATATGTGGGATCCGAACTGGGGCCCTCTGGCGTCCCAAGCCAGTTCTTAACCAACGCACCACTCGGCCGGTCCTTAGCTGTAAGTTTTGTTTTTCCTTTGATGGTGGTATGTCCTTTTTCTCCCCTCCCTTTTTTTAAAGATTTTCTTGTTATCTTTGATTTTCAGCCATTTCACTGCTGAGAGTGATTTTCTTTCACTTTTTCCAGTGTTGGGTTGGCTATACTTCCTGAGTCAGTGTGTTAATGTGTCAGTTTTGGAATATTCTTTGTGGGGTTTTTTTTTTCCTGACAGCATTGCTTCTTCCCCATTCTCTCTCTCTCCTCTTCTCAGTTGCAGTTACTTTGGGCTGTTTGATTCCCACCTCTCTTAAGCTCGGTTCTTTTCATTTGTTTTTCTCTCTCTTTATGTTAGTTAGATATTTTCTCCTGATCTCTTCAAGTTTACTAATCCTGTGTTTTGCTGTGATGAGTCAGTTATAAAACTCACCCACTGGTTTTTTAATTTCAAATATTGTATTTTTCAGTTCTAAAATGACTATTTGATTCTTTTTCATAGATTTAAATTCTCTGTTGAAATTTGTTTATCTACTGTAAACATTTTGCTACATCTTTAATTTACATTAAATAGTTGTCTTGAAGTCTTTGTATTCTAAATTGGTATCATCTATGGGTCAACTTAACAATATATTTTTCTTTTGGCTATTGGTCACATTTTATGTCCCTTGCCATGCTTTGTAATTGTTATTGTATCCCAAATACTGTTTATTATAGGATCATAGATTGACCTAAATGTTATTTTCTCTCTAATGATGAAGTGCTAATCTCCTCAATTCAACCATGAATTGAGCTGGATGATTTGAGTCACAGGTTTAGAGATCTATCTATCTATCTATCTATCTATCTATCTATCTATCTATCTATCTATCTTATACACATACATACACACACCTAGTCTACCCCTGGTTTTAAATGTCTTAAGAGCAAGACCTTTTGTATTGCAGGTATTTCTCTTTGGTGTGACTTTGAACTTATGAACTGTGAAGTTGGGAGATTTTACTCTACCTTTTGGGTTTTCCTTCCTTTTACTCATCTGCCCTCTCAAGGTGGGATGCTTTTGGTTGAGAGCAAATGTCTTGAGAGGAGATCTGTTTAAATGCTACACTGAAAATGGTAGATGCCGCCTGTTGTAGTGTGGCTTTGACTCTTGATCAACATAACACTACAGAATACATTGGTCCTCTGGTCTAGCCCAATCTTTCCTTCTCTCCAGTCCACTTGTGCAGTCCCAGTCCCCAGCAAATATCCCAGGAGAAAACTTTTGGGACTTCCATAAGATTCCAATCTATCATAACAGCTCATGAACCATCAAAAACTATGCTAGTTTCTCTTTTCCTTGGTAGTATCCCTCGTTTCTCTCTTTCTTATTCTCAGCTTGTGTCTAAATGGCAAATCCTCCGAGAAATTAAAACAATCAAGAGGCTCAGCTTAGCTAAGAAGAGATATCACTTTTCTCTTAGTTTATCCATTTTGCTTCCATTGTGCTCTAATATCTTTAAAAATATGATTTTGGGGGATAATTTATCTTTTTTTTAGTTGTTGTGACTGGTCACTATGTGCTGGTTGGTAGTCTTGTAAAAGTAGAACAAAATTTAAACCCACATGTTTACTCTTATATATATTATATTTATATAAAGTCTGTGTGCTTAGATTGGCTTGTTATTGAATATTAATGTTTGTTGCTTAATATGTCAAGCCCAGAAATTGATCAGTATTGATGTTGGGAAAAACTGTATGCAGACATCAACGTTAATTTCAAAATCTCTTTTGGTCAGCAGTAATTTAAATGACATGCACACAAAAATTAATTTTCTTTTTCTTTCCTACTTTCCTGTTTAGTGAGTGATAGTTGCTTCAGGAATCTTGCAGAAGATCGCAGTGGGATAAATCTCAAAGATCTCGTACAAGATCCTTCTTTGTGAGTATTTGGTTTTTAGTACTAAGTATAATTTAAAACTTTATGGTTGGTGTAACTTTTTTCAAAAGAGTTGTAGCTGAGAATGATTTAAGTTGAACAGTTTCTTCTTCTCTAACAATTTGTTACATATAATGAAACACACAAAATAGTTTAAACAGAAGTAAAGTTATAGAACAGTTTTTAGAAATAGAAGAGATTTTAGAAGAAGGGATAGTGTTATGATTAATGATTGACTTTCAAGGAGTAGAGCTAATGACTGATGATGCCTTGCCAATGTGGCAGTAGATACTGAGCAGGGGAGATGATTAATAGTTTCTTTGTTTGGGAAAGTGAGATTGAATTCATTCACATCAATTTTAAGCTTTTTTTGAATAATTTATAATTATTTGTAAGTATAAAATAATTATTTGTAATAACTATATTTGAATATATTGAATATGTTTGTAATATTTTATATTAGAAAGCTGTATATAGCACAAAACTTTTGAGTTTTATATGTTCCAATTTTAATGTTCTTGATCATGAGTCAATCCCATTCTTTATCAGCATGTACTTTACTATAATGTCGCTTTCTATTTCATGAATTAATTTTTTGCAGTTGTATATTTACTAGAAATCATGCGTATTATCTTCTACATGAACATACCCTCCCAGACAGATCACCTTTTATTTAAAAAAAAAAAAAAACCGGGCTGGCCAAGTGGCTCAGTTGGTTAAGAGCTCGCT